TCTTCTTCTCTTTCTGCTTCTGCTTCTTCTCGCCCGCGTCGGCCGTCACTGCGGCGTCCTCGGTGCCCTGCCCATCGCTGGACTTGCTCTTTTTCTTCTTGTCCTTGGCTTTCTTGTCCTTCTTATCAACCTCCTTGGCCTCACCGTCTTCTACTGCAGGCGTATCCTTCGCGTGCTTGAGCTTGCGGCCTGCCTTTTTCGACGCCGACACATGCGACGACTGTGCCGATTCCTCGCTCGACATGGGGAGCGTAAGCGGTATTCTCGGGAACGTCAGGTGGAATTGGAGAATTGAGTATATTGCACGATTGTTTAGAGCTATTTCGAATGCGAGAAGAGTAAATTATTCGGGTATTAGCCCTTGGTGAAAGGTATATCGATCTTGGTGAATTCATGAAGCTCTGGAAAATTTTCCACGTGAGTTGCGGAGTCTGCAGCATAGCGTCCGCTTATCAGGACGGGGCCACCGATAAGCGATTGGCCTTGGAGAAAGATATTTGGAGTAGTCTGTACCAGCAATATGTGTGATATTTACATATTCCTTCAATAGGTCAACATAATGTCAAAGTTCTATATCGTTGGGAAAACCGTATATTCATCTCGCGTTATCATGCAGGCCCATTTCCAGACTCCGACGAGTGTCCGACTCCCGACATCTAAACCCATGTGCGTGAAAATGCTCGAGTTGAAATCATGACCCGGTTCCACTTCCATTACCGCTATGCTCAGCTCCCGAGGTGTCTTTCCTTTCCCTTCTGGCTTCCTTTTGGGGCCCAACCTCGCCGTTGCCTCCGGGCGCGGTAGATGCTGCAGCCTTTCGCCTTGCCCGCTCCTTGTCCTTGGTGCTGGTCGTTGCCGTCCTCCTTCTCCGGACTGGTTCGTAGACATCGTTGAAGTTCATGACCACTCCAAGGAAGCGCATATCGACGTCGGGTTGGTAGGCTAGGTCGCCCAGGAGCACGTTCAGCCTGGAGCGGAACTCCGCAGAGAGCTCGCGCAGACGTGTGCGAAGTGACGCCAGCATGTTGTCGTCTGCAGCAAGCTCTTGGCCGGCGAGAGATGACGGGGTATCGAACCCATCGCCATCAACTCCGACTGTTGGAGTTTGGGCCACCGACGGGGGGAATGACGATAATGAGTTCTTATGCCCTTGTGGATGCCGGGAAGATAGGAGATCGCGCTCAGTAACGCCCCAGCGCCCCTGAGCGGTGCGCGTTTCTATTTTAGCACTGAGCTCTTGTCTTCGGGTAAACTCTGCCACGGAAAACGAATAGAGTCCATCGACGGCATCCTTGTACGCCAGCATGATCTTCAATATTTGATGAAGTTGGGTCAAGAAGCCCTCTTCTTGTTTGTGACCGGATGCGGTGCGGGGTGAGGATGTCGAGCCCAACAGACCCTTGTGCGTGATAGAGTTGAGATATTTGGTATGTGCTTCAATCAAATCATCAAGCGTACAACCTGGCTTGGAGATGGCCGCCTGCAATTGATCCCAACTGGCCTCGATGACCTCAAAGAGGATGTAGTACTGGAGCTGGCAAACAAAGTGAATCATTTCCGCGATGACACACCTTGCCCGTTTCCAGTCAGCTCCGACTTTGTCGCTGACGCTTCCTAGGACTCCGCGAGCGCCGGTCATACACCGCCGCCAAGTGCTGCCCAGGGCAAATTCGACGCGCTTAACTCGCCATAGGAAATTAAACACCTTCAGATATTGAGTCGAGCCCCATGGCGTGATAACAACATCAACAGGCGCATCAATCTTGTATTCTAACGTAAAGCAGTCCCATCCTATCTCGCCGTGACTGAGTTCCAACATACGGGCATCTAAACGGCGGAGAACGTCGGGCGGATCGTATTGAGCGTTGGAAGCACGAATGGCATGCTCGAGCTGCGCGGTGAGAGTGTGCCTATATTGTGAATTGGCAGGCCGATCGAGGTTCGACGCCAAGGATTCCATGAGCAAGGCGATGAAGTCGCCCTGGCCCAGTAGCAGATACTTCTTGAGCGCGTGCAAGTGGTCGAATAGTTTGAACTTGTCGTTCATGAGGTGGATGAGTCGCGCCATAGTCGTTTTGTAGGCTTCATCAATGGATGCCTCGAGGCTAGCCGTATCACCATAGTGCAACTCTTTGGAGGCTTCTTTAGAGTATGCCTCAACCCATCCAGAGTCCCCACATCCGTATCTGATGAAGTTCAAAGATTTGCCGATAAGAAAGACTTTCTTCGCAAAGTCCTGCGTGATGATTGACGGTACCATCTCATCATCCAGTTTATACTTGTCTTCCCAGACACTGGTCGCAAGCCGTCGTGGGTCTGTGTTTGGCCTGAATTCCGGCTCCACGACAAAAAACTCCTGGTACGGATCTGAAAGCTCACCATCATAGATCCACAGTCGCAGCATATCGTAAAACGGGCGTGTAACGTGGGAGAGCAGCTTCTCCGCAAAGCTGTTAACAAAAGGGTCTCCATGAGACGTTGAGAAACTATGAATCAATGATATCAATTGACCACCTTTTTTGTCTGAAATGCCGTTAGCTCGATGGAAGATAAAGAATGCAGTCGAGGAAAGGAAAAGCACACTTACTGCGAGCCTCCTCAACTATCAAACTCATCAACCGTAACGCCATTGTCGCATCTCTTGTCCATACTACACAACGCTTCAACGTTACCAACCCTTTGGACGATTCCTTCGACTGATAGGGGTCTCCGCTAGCGGCCAGCGCCCGTCGAATCTCCCCTTCCAAGGTTGCTACAAGACCCAGGTAGGAACGGAGCTCGTTTGAAAGAGCAGCCCGTAGGCTCTGGGTGAGCAAGCCACCTCCAGAATCCTCCACGTATTTCGACAGGCCTTTATATAGCAGACACGGCTCTGCCAAGGTGTTCAAGAGAGACAAGACGGGTATGGGGAGAGTCGGCGGTAGATTTAGAACGGAAGATGACGAGAATTCCAAATTGGAAGACGACAATCCTTGTAAGTTGTAGGGTAAATCACGTAAAAGTCCGCTCTCATGAGGCCGCTTTTCGAAGTTATCTGAAAATGACTGGGTCTGAAACGATGCCTTCTGAACGTCCGCAGGGCGGCTATCTCTAGGCGCAGCATCGTGTGCGCCACGAGCCATTCGACCTCCTTTTACTCTATCAGCTGTGGCATGCCCATGTTCCTGGTCGACATCCTTTTCCCTTTCCCACTCCTGCCGCCGCACGGAGGCCTTCCGCTCCATCTTGGCTGGAATCTGCGAAGCAGAGGAGCTGACAGCCGGGCTATCCTCGTCCGAATCCCCCTCCACTCTTGGCCCCAGGCCATGTCTTGCTCTCTGATGACCACTCTTCAACATCATATTCTGCAGGTTCCCTGCATCCATAAGCGGGCTCCGACTTCTCCCATTCTCGTCCGCGACCTCGACCTGGGGATCCGATCCCGACAGCCGATATAGCAAGTACAGAATCGCCCATTTCTGCGACAGAACCGGTTGCGTCAGCAAGCGCGAATACAAGTTTGAAAACCGCACAGCTTTGTCGGGGCTCGCATTCTCCCGGAGGAGTTTCCGCTTGATAAGGTCCGACGCGTTATTGATGTTCTCCCCTCCTGCTAAACTGCCTCTGCGAGTGATGCCCAGGCCTGTGCCGTCAGCTGGCGAGGCGTGGCCATTTCCGGAGCTTGAGGATGTGCCGATGATGCGCCATGCACGTTCGAGATTCTCGTGGTGTCGGCGTTCTTCTGCTTCGGCAAGTAGCTCGTCTGCGTCTTCGGAGACGGTATCGCCGATCTCTGAGAGGGATATAGGTGGAGTCAGGGAATCGACAAGTTGAGAAAGGGCATCTTCAATGCGACGCGGCCGCGCGGGTTGACGCGAAGACATTGTCCGGGCCGCAGTTCGCGGATTTGCCTTTTAAATACCGCCTGTCCTCAATTTGGTGGCCTTTCTCGAGGACTTCTATCTTTCAATGTCGCGCGTTGCTCGAGTCAACCGTATGTGACGCGGATGAAGGAAAACGCGAAGGTGGGGAGTCTGTTGATCAGTGTGCGCCGTCAAAGAGAGTTTCCGAAGTGCCGCAGCGCATCCTGGGAATTGAGTTGAGAAAGTTCCCTAACAGATTACCTCATCCACTTTGACTGACAGCTCAATTCCCATAGCAAAAAGGGCTCATGAAGGCTGGGATGTTTGTGTTTGTCTTGACTGATCTGTATCAAGTCGCGCACGCCAAGACCGGCAGACGTCAATAAGGTACGGGTTTCTTGGTTAGGCGCCTAATGGATTCATCGTAGGGAAAAACGATTACTACTACTTGCAGTTAATCCGCGACACAATTAATACTTCTCGAAGTTTTATACACCGACGACGATTCAATTTACAAATTGAAAGCTATAAGAACCTGAATCGCGTTTCATTCACAATGCCTAAGACACCATACGCGAAGGAAGTCATCAAGACACCAGAACAAACCTGAGCCGCCAACGCCGCCCATATTAAAGCTGAAAACAACGGCTGGAAACACCAGTGCCCCCATGAACATAAAAACAAGTAAAAATAGTCCCCGGTAAAGAACAAGAAAAGGAAGGCCAGAGTACAGAGATACTACACTGCCCGAGCCTTGAGAGCCACAAATGCAACTCGAGGCTTGGAGTTGATGAAAGAAGGATTCGAGATAAGACAGACAGGAGAAAGAAACAAATCAAACCGCCAACAATCTTTTGCGCCCAAACTGCACCGTCCGAGAGTGCAATCAAAGTCCATCGCACCAGCTGGATCTTTCCGTCAATTTTGGAGTTCGTACACATCATAAACACCGGCCCATGCTATAGGTCCGCGGGAAAGTCGCAGCCGAGAAATCGAAAATGTAAGAGCCCGCGTAGGGGCGAAAAAGCTGAAGTGAGAAGCACCGTATCACCGTCTAGACCCGAGCGGCCTGTACACTGTCGAGCAGAGATCGAATTTTAGATGTCATAATCATGATCAGGCGTCAATTAAAGATCATGAGCGGGTGAAATCACATAATCATCGTCGCATACCCTGAGTAGGGATAGGTGCACCTGGCTGCATACCCATGTTGTTTGCGATGTTGTACGGATGAGGGTCGAAGCCTGTCGACATTCCATTCATCATGAGAGGACCTAGTCCCTGAGCTTGAGACACGGGACAGTCCTTGTGAGCAAGCAACAAAGTCTTCAGGTTGACGATTTCCTCGCGAAGCTGCGTGACAGTGGCGGTAAGCGCGTCATTCTCCGTAGTAAATAGCTCGACCTTCGCCTGAAGATTGGCGAGCCACTGTTTCTTGCGCTGACGACATTTCAGAGCCGCGACCCTAAGTCAGATTATATTGTATTAGTATCAGATCAGTATTGCCTCGGGAGTCATGCAACTGTCAAGAGCGTACCGGTTCCTCTCCAAGAAATTTCTCCTCTTCTCTTCGTCCGTCATCTTCTTCGTGTCGGTCTGAGATTTCTTCTTCATGTCATCCTCATCCTCAGAGTCGCCAGCTTCGGACGGAGGCTCGGCGCTGCCGGAGCTAATGCTTGTCTTGGCCTTCTTGTTCGGACCCTTGGCGGGTGTATCGTCTGCTTTGCGTCTATTGTTGGTTGTATTTCCTGTTTTCGTGGCAGTATTCTTCTTTCCTTTCCCTTTGGCGGAAGGCTTTGCCTGTTCTGCCTGCATATCAGATGCATCACCGCTCATCTCTCTACTACTGGCTACGGAGCCATTGACATTTTGAGATCCACGCCTGTCTGCGTCACGCGATTGATTGGTGCCCTGAATAGTATGAGGTGGAACAGACGATTGGTTGGAGACGAATTGATTGGCCTGTCCGCCCTTGGCCAACATGAACAACCCGTTGGCTGCATCTGCAGCATCGTGATGCGTGAAAGGGTCCACGCTGGCAGGCTGACTGCTCTTAATATCCATGCTCACACTGTGAACTCCCTCGGAATCGACTGTGGGATTGGAAGTAGGACCACTCAAGCCGTTCTTCTTGGCAGCGTTCAATGCAGTACGATGGAATTCAATTGTGGAGGGAGTCGCGCCGCCGCTCTGTAGTTGCTGCAGAATCGCCTGGGAGTTCGGGCTCGGGGCAGGGAACATAGAACCCCCACCGCCTGGAGTGAGACCGGTGCGAAGAGAAGATTCGTTGGGAGTCGGGAAACCTCGGCCAATGCTGTCGAAATAATCATTACCACCAGCTGGTCCAGCAAGCATGGCAGGACTCAACGGCCCAGAGCGCAAAGAATTGGACCAATTATAGCCACCGTTGGAACTGGTGCCAGGCAAAGCAGGTGATGTGAGCGCTGCTACAGGGGGCAGTAACGACTTTCCAGGAGTTTCGCTCTGGGAACCACCCCCAAATGATTGTTCGAAGGGATTGGGCTCCAGAGAGAAGGGATTGTGAACCGAGTTGAAGTAATCCGGAGTATCTGTGGCAGTAGTTACAGCAGGTCGCGGGGGAGGCGCCAGCGAGGTTTGCGAGTCGACATCAGGCTTCTGGTCCTTAGTATCGGAAGGCGCTTTGGACTCTGAGATGCGCAATTAGAACCCAGGTCAGTAGAGGTACAATAAGGTAGAAGTAACGATGATGCGACAACAAGGTGATTTGATCAAACGTGTTGTGTGGTAAAGGGTGTTTTCTTTGCATCGCGTGGCTGACAGGGTCCGAATCTGATAAGGAGGATCCCCTCCATCGATGACGCCAAGTGTGAGGTCATCCCGACGGCAGGATACAGATCGCAGTATCTGGGGAAGAAGTGGCGTACTGCCAGACCAAAAAGAGTCAAGACTTCACAAAGGAGGGGAAGACCAGAGGATAGACAGAGAAGGTTTCGTGTAAAAGGTACCAAAATTCATATCCATGACGCACAAGAAGACATATACTACTCACCTCCAGCGTCCAACGCGTTCTTCTTCGAATCCATTGGCGATGAATTACGAGTGTTTGTACTATGCGGTAGATTTGCGGGCACAGACGAAGCGACAGCAGCAGACATCATAGACCCAGAGGAGGAAACAATATATTAGGCGAGTGCAGGGCAGCCGCGAGTAAGTGACCAAGGTAGAGGTAGTAATAGTAGGGGAAGGGAAAAAGACGGGAAACAAGCGAGTGGACGTGGTGGCGAGAACGCAGAACAAATTTGCGATCAACCAGATATAAAAGAGGATCAAATAGAATAGTAGGATAAGAGAAGAATCCTTGAGAGTAGAAAAAGAAAGAAATGTTGATAATTTGCTTTGTCGTTGTTCTGGTCTCTGTATCTTCTCGTCTTTTTCCCTGGTGCTGTACTATACGTACACCCAAGGCAAAGCGCACGTACTTAGTGTGTAGTGACTTTTCGAGGTGTCAAGGGGAGAAGAAGAGTTGTGACGTAGTCCGGTTCAACAAGGAGTATTTTATTTTAGGGGGGGTGGAAGAAAAGAATGGAAGAAGAGGGGAGGCGGTCGAGGGTGGTGAGCTAAGCGTTTCGACTAGTCAGCATCCGACTAGTGTGCTATCGGGTTCATAGTAGTTCCCCGTCACGCCAGAAACATGTAACCCTGGATGAGTACAAAAACCTGTGGTTGTCCTTCCAGGTTGCAACCTCGAATCGATTTATGTTATCCCAGCAATCTCTTCTTCTTCTTCTTTCTGCTTATTGTTCTTTAAGTTTCAATATTATTATTTCTTTCCTTGTTTCAATATGTGATCTCTCTGATTCTCCCATTTTATCCGCTACTTTTGGAGAGATGGAAGAAACCAACAAAGGCAGGAGAAAATCAAAAAAAATAAAATAAAAATAAAAATAAAAATAAAATAAAACAAAAAAGAAAAAAAGAAAATACTAAAAAACCCAAGGCCAGAAGGGAACGAATAACAAGAAATCAAATCTGAATAGTAATCGTAGCAGCAAAAATCATCGCCCTTACCTATGGTGCTGTGGACTCCCCGGCAATATTTCTCGACCAATATGAATGACGAAATCGCGTCGGAACCACACCAGACGCGGTGGTTGGCTAACAGGGGAATTTGATAAGCAAACTGCTTCTAGTTTTTCTTGTTCTTTTTTTCCCCTGTTTGGTTGAGTAATATGGAGAAAGATTAAAGAATGTTTGCCCGTTATCCAGGGATGAAAATGACTCGAAAAGAGTGAAATGAAAGAGCCAGACCCAGCACACGACAGCCCAGAAGCAGCATAGAAGGAAAATCATGGGGGGCAGAAGAGGAGATGGGGCAGGGAAAACTTGGATGAGATCACGGTGACGACGACAGGAATTTTCCTTTGGGGTATGTCGGACCAGCCGGGTGGCCACTGGGCGACAGGTGGGCCCACATGAACTGGCAGTTGGCCACTCATGGGCCAGTCTCCCGGCCCCACCTGGATTTTTGCAACCTTGGCTCTTCAAAGTACCTTTCTACATACAACAATTTAGCATGTAGATACTCCCATAGTCACCCCAGAAGTAACACCACGATCTTGTGAAATTCAAATCCTGAAATCTGAGTACTGACGACTGATGCCTGTCAGAGGACACCTAAAAGTACGCGCATGTCTCAGTGGAAGAGAGTTCTTTGTAGGGCTCCATTCAAAAGATGATCCAGAGATAGGTGTGAATTTGCGAAGCCAGCCAACAGAGACTCGCGCGGAAGAATCCTTCAATACCTAATTTGGTCTCGATTCTTATCCTCTATCACTCTGCGCTGCTGATTGGATCTCAGCAATGACGCAATGACCGAGGTCGCTCTTATTGTGGGTTCTGCTCACGTGATTATAAGGTACTGACTTTCTGGTTGGACGACAGAGTCAAATCTGCCGGGTCGTCAGTTGCCACTCGGATTCCGTCTCGCCAACAGGCACACGGACTAATTTCTCAATTAAGACGACCCCATATGCACTAGCACTAGTCTGTCTGAAGCAAGATGACCACAAATCTCCTACAGTACCAAGTGGTAGAGGTGCCGTTATCACAGTAATCTTGTCGAGATGGTGCTCATCAAGGTAGATTATTTGCATCCATTATGCCAGGCTTGGCCAGCCCTTGCAATGGCGCAGGATGCTTCCCCGGGGCCAATGCATTGAATCTGGTCTGCCAGGTCCCCTGGCATGATTCATGTTGTGATTAGCCCAATCCTCGCTCCAAGACAAGGTAGTGAAGTTCACGAATCCCTGTTGGGGGTATCACAGGTATTGATGCGAATGGGGTAATGCTCAGCGTGGCCACGGGCCACGCTACCTGTCTAGTCTCGCAAATCAATGAACAGTATCGCTACCAGGGAAATTCGAGCATATACTCTAATCCAACCATCTGACGATCTCTGGATGGATCTCAAGATATTCAGGAAATACTGGGTTGGAGTTGGGGCTGCATCGCTAGCTACTCCGTACAGCCTGTCCATATCTGGGATTACTCGCTTGTTTCAATTCTGCCATGCAGCCACTACCTTGCAATAGTTGAACATTGAATCTCATTGTAACTCAAGCATCGACTCTATTCTTCTACATAGCATTTATTTGCCTTCATTCCAAATGACCATCTGGTATCGTTTCATATCTATGCTTGACTTTGGAGTGGTAGTAGGTTGACCGATGCCTTTCCTTGCCTGCAGCGCTTGAGAACTGCTCCATATGTGGAACTTAGCTACATTGGCGATCGGATGGATCACGGACGAGCACCGTCACAAGTCACATAGCAGTACAGCTGTTGACAACTTGACCAGACCATTGGCGCTAATTCAATCATTCTCAATGCACCTTTGTTTATATCACATCCATGATGACTTATTTATAATCTAGTTCACCCAATTGTCAATTCCGGTTCATTAGAAGTACATATTCAATTGCAGCATTTAGACTACCCCATTTTAAAGATATACGGAGTACGGACGGAGTACCTCTGGTAGTCCCTGTTTCATCATTTTAGAGCTTCTCCAGATACGTCACTGCGCGCGCTCCACAATCAGAAAAAAGAAAAAAAAAGAGGACTAACGATCCACTATCAAACCATCAAACCATGATAACCATCAACGGCCTCCTTTTAAGAACCCCGATAAGTAGAATAATTCCAAGGCCCCAGCAGCACCGGCACATGGTAGTGGCGCCAACCCTCCTCTCCCTCCCGTCCACGGCCCTTCACTGTGAACTTCACCTCCACCTCCGGCCAAAAACTCTCAATCCCCTGCGCTTCATACCAGGGCCCAACCTCAAAACGCACGGCCCAGTTCGTCTTGCTATCCGCAGTTGGCAGCGATGAAAGCACCCCCGAAACCGTCGTAGTTATTGCGGCGGTGGCAGTCCAATTCTTCACACGTCCATCTGCGTCCGTCGTTGCGCTGAATGTGACGGGGCTTTGGCTGGTGTTGTTGCCATTGCTGCTCCCGAGGAATGTCAGCGTTACGGGGAGATCTGCGGCGGGGGTACCCGTCAGGGTGTTCAGGACATGGCAGGTGATAGGATCGCGGGACATTTGGCCAGCTACCTGTGCGGCGGTTGAGATACTGCGACTGGAAGATGTGGTTTGTGGTGATGGGCCGGAGGCTTGAAGGAGCTGTTTCTGGTAGAGGGCAAGACGGTCGGTGGCTTTAACCAATTGGTCTGTTGACTGGGTCTGGCCTTCTCCAATGTCCATCAAGTAGATTTAAAATGAGGTTTGGAGAAGCAGGTATGAGGAAATTTTCTCAGAAGTAGATAAAGCATGACTATCTGTTGGCACAAGGGGTCCTTTTCTATCTCCGCTTCTCATGCTTCGGAGAGTACCGACAGCTGTACTCCATACGGAGTATACCTTCAGTGGGGCGTTGACCTTCTGATTTTTGTGCGAAATATGAGATTTGGCACATAACTTTTGCTCCTGGACATCCGAGAGCCATTACAATGGACTCGTAGATGAAGATGGCACCAGGTCCATTATGTCGATTCAATGTGATCTCCTCGAGTAAAGTTGAGATCATCCAAATATACAGGTGTTGAGGCCTCAGGCAGAAAGCTCCAGCACGTGCCCCGCCGATGATGGCTGGAGCGTCCAGATGGTTCTACCACTTGACCGTGCTTTGACAGTTGTAAATAGTTTTCTTTTTCTGTATTTGCTTGCTTGTCTGTCGATACTTTCAAGTCAGGTTCCTGCGACTCATATTAATCTCAAGCCCATTTTCTCGGAAGCTTCCACACACCACAATCAAAACTTTTGGCCTCTGCGGGGAAGCAAATACGTGTAAATTCAACCCCATCACTGCTCACCGAACAAGCAAAATAACCCTTCGCAAAGCCTTTGAGCATTTTCTCACTGCTCTAAGTTGCAATAGATTTCTGCTTGCCAGGTTCTGAACTTCCGAATCCCTCAAAATGTCTTCAACCGCGGTCGTGCACGGCGACGATCTCATGGAGCCGACGCTCCAGTCCATTCTCAGCCAGAAGACCTTGCGATGGATCTTTGTTGGTGGTAAAGGAGGTGTCGGAAAGACAACGACATCATGCTCGCTCGCGATCCAGCTGGCTAAAGTTCGCAAATCCGTCCTGCTCATCTCGACCGACCCCGCACACAACCTGAGCGACGCCTTCGGGCAGAAGTTCGGAAAGGAGGCCAGGCTGGTCGATGGATACTCCAATCTTAGCGCTATGGAAATTGATCCGAACGGCAGCATCCAGGATCTCCTCGCTAGCGGGGAGTCGCAGGGCGATGATCCCATGGCCGGACTGGGTATGGGTAATATGATGCAGGATCTGGCTTTCAGCGTATGTGCAGCCTGTGACAATACTGAGAGTGTGTGTCCATGCTAACAATCAATGTTCGTAGATCCCCGGTGTTGACGAGGCTATGTCCTTCGCCGAAGTCTTGAAGCAAGTCAAGTCTCTGTCTTATGAGGTTATTGTGTTCGACACTGCACCAACCGGACACACCCTTCGTTTCCTTCAGTTTCCCACCGTCCTTGAGAAGGCCCTCGCGAAACTCTCTCAGCTATCGTCTCAGTTCGGACCAATGCTGAACTCGATCCTCGGTGCTCGTGGCGGCCTCCCAGGCGGACAGAACATCGACGAGCTTCTCCAGAAGATGGAGTCTCTGCGGGAGACTATTAGCGAGGTGAATACGCAGTTCAAGAATCCCGACATGACCACCTTCGTGTGTGTTTGCATCGCCGAATTCCTGTCACTGTACGAGACCGAGCGTATGATCCAGGAACTAACGAGCTACGGTATCGATACCCATGCCATCGTGGTCAACCAGCTTCTCTTCCCCAAGGAAGGAAGCGGATGCGAGCAGTGCAATGCTCGCAGGAAGATGCAGAAGAAGTACCTTGAGCAAATCGAGGAGCTTTACGAAGACTTCAACGTTGTCCGGATGCCATTGCTGGTTGAGGAAGTTAGAGGAAAGGAGAAGTTGGAAAAGTCAGTCCTCAATCCCAATACTCGGTGGAAACAATGACTAACAATGTCTACAGGTTCAGCGAGATGCTCGTGCACCCTTACGTTCCTCCCCAATAGACTACCCTAAACATGACAATTGTTGTATCCATATGAGAGCCGTAAGAGATATAGTCGGGACGAGTTACGAAATGAATAGACCATAATGATTTGAGATCATACTGCGTTCTATGCTCAAGTTCACCCTCGTACTCAGTCTACTGGTTCTGACTTGAATAACTAACTGTAGAAATCGGTGCTTTCTCGTTTTACTTTGCTCTTGTCTTAGTTGGCACACATGAGTGTGGCTGACTTCTTTGAGTGATTCGCCACAGCGCCTCACTTTCACAGTCTCCGAAAGATCGGCGGGGTGAAGCATGTAGTTCACATACTGTCACAAAGTATCTCAAAGCCTCGAGCAAGCTCTTGTTGCACTTGAAGCCTTATCCATGCTGTTTGAGGTTGCTCTGGAGACGAATTAGCAGGCAGCTCGGAACAAGAGCCCGATTCCATAACACACACCAAATCTAACTTGCTAAGGGTTGGCGCGTGAAAACTGAGGCGCAGGCATACTTCCATTGAATATCAAGAACGCTTCAAGTCAAGTGAGTTGTTGCTTTGACGATGCAAGCCTCAACTTTGCTTCGTATCAATTTGAAGGCCATTGGATCAATGCAAAACGTAAGTCACTTTACATGTAACTGTCATGAGGTGATATACTGTTCTATGTCTGTGAATTGTTATTAGGTTGTTGAAGGGAGTTAGCCTAGTCAATCAAGCAGCGTCTGGACGTGATGAAGCTCAACAGATCAGCAGGTGCTGTCACGAAGTGATCGATGTTCGGTGCAAGCTGGATTGCTTATTCCAGTTGAGTGAGGCGAGTGATAGGTGTAGTATTGACGCTCCAACCAATTTGGATATGAAACAGAAGACAGAATGCCTTTGTCGGCTGGACTACAGCACTTCGCCTTGATACCTGGATAGCGCAAGGTGCTCAGTACTTCCTGCCTTGATGTTGTAAATGAGGCCGGGGCCTCTGGTTTGCTCAATGGGCCACTTGGTGGTTCCATTTGCAAAGATCTCCAAGTAGGATCGTCCTCGGTGTCTGAGATATAGAAATATTTGGGCCTTGTTTCAGTAGTATCAGGCAGTTCGCCGATCCCTCGTGCGTTGTGTTGTTTAAAGATCAAGGTCTCAAGATCACCAGAGCAAGTGAAACAGCCTCATCAGAGATTGTATTCCTACAATCCGCCTTGGGGCTTACACAGCCAGAATAACGCTCACTGAATTCGCTTTCTTTGAACTCCACGTAAGAGGCCATGACTCTCCTCTTGCGCTCGAAGTTGAAATCGTAGTCAAAGGTTACCCTCGGTACAAGCCGTGGTCGTCAGGGCAAGTCTGTGAAGATATTTATAGAAATAGCTGCCTTGGCTGCCATGGTGGGTATGCGCAAGGTCCATGCCGAGCCATTCAGGAAGCACCAGAACACACAGCCATCAGTTAAAGGCAAGTCTAGAAGCAGCAATGACACTGTGACAGTGTGGCATACTCGAAGTGGTCCGAAATGAAGTCGTTGACCATGCATCCCAACGGCCACAGTATGGAATGGTTGGCTGGTCGCTCTCCGGCCACATTGGTGGGTTAGGAGCTGCATCTACGCAGGAAGGTAGCCAGACAAAATCAGCGGACGGGCTCTTCCCATGTACCTAGCTGGGTGGAGATCACCAAGACCCAGCGGAAAGACTTGTAACGTTCTGCTTCAGACAGTTTCATAGGCCGCAGGGGCGGATCCTTGTTGATACATTGCATCGATGAGCGCTTAGGAATCGACTGGTGAAGAGATGGACTCCCGAATGACCAGTCACCGAATCCAAAATCAGTATTATTTTGCTTTGTTGCTGAAGGGTCTCGGATCGTTTCTGCAGATTCTTATCGAGAACGAAACTTAGGAGGCCCGGTTGCAAGACGGAGCCATCGATAAATATGAGTTGCGGGGGACACTGCATGGAAGCCGTCAAACATCGCTTCCTGAATCGGCCTTGTGCATATAATGCAGTGTCCTTCTCCTCGGTTCTGGATCAATATAGTTGGTGTCGGTGTCAGTCGAGACAGTGAAGTTCCTCCTAAAATCCAGCTTTCTGCTTTGATTTGTCTAACATGCATTGGCTCTTTTCCCAGATACAAAGAAATGGGTCGAGCGTGGAATTGCTCTCAGGCCTGCCTGTACAACAAATCCACTACGCATAGATAATCAATCGCTCTCGGATCTTACAATGATGATCAGTGGGACCCCTTCTGTTTACGGCCCTCTCTGATCTTAAGATATATTTAAACTCGGAATACTAAGCGCCCTCATTGAGCTGGGGAAAGTTTAGAAGAAAGTTTCGGAATGTTATTGATAAAATATTCCACTACCTGGACTTGTCCTAGGATGTCAGCGCATGGAGCCACGACAACATCCCAACAAACCAATTTGGTGCCGCATGTTCACCGCAATCTAGTCCAAGGATCTTGAAATTGGGACGCACGATTAAGGAATAGGACCTGGCCCTGGGCGCAGCGGCCTAGGAGCGCATGGCATGGGTGCAGCTGGCTTCGATTTGCGAACGGTATTAGTCTTCGTCAAAGTCAAGCCTCACTTTTGTTTTACCGGTGCGAAAAGGGTTTGAATCTCGTCCTCTCAAAGAGTGAGGCGGTCCCTTCCGGGATCCGATGAGCACAATGGACCAAATTGGCTTTCCAGCCATCTTATCACTCTGCTCGTGATGGATACTCCTTTGAAGTTCTGGACTAACTGTGAGTGTGATCTCGTCTGGAAGATTCCATAGTGGTTGCAAATGGGAATGCTGATCAGCTTCACTAAGCGAGTATGATCGTATATTGCAGCTGAACATTTCGAACCTCAATCAATTCCTTCGAACTCATGCAGATGATCTTCGTATTTATCTCGCCGTTATCCCTTACATGAGTAGAGTCGGTCTGGGGTTATATATACACTCATCGTCCATTCATGTACCTGTTTCGTGCCATCATCACCTTTCCTAAACCGCCATCCTACGCGAGCATCCAACCAAGCTTATATACCTCCAAGCGTGCACTCTAGAACGACAAAACGCTTACGAAGATGTCACAGGTCCAGCAATATTGGCTCCCAGGCTATGGTCTCTCAAGACACATTGTGCTGGGCCATATTCAGTATTTCCTTGGACCATCAGCAACTGTCAGACCCTATACTTACCAGGTAAACGATCACTTAGTTGGCGAAACGTGATAAATGGGAAGAGTCTGCCTAACCCGCGAGATTGATACAAACAGGGGCGCGACGGCTATCTCATCAATGGCATGCCTTTGACACGGGTCTCTGCTCCCTTCTAGCACTGCTTTCCTACTGCCGTGTCGCTAACAGGATCACACAGGAACAAATCAATGATCTGGCCATCATGTCACGAGAGTACGAACGGCAGGAATCCCTTCGAATGACGGGAGATATCCTTACACCCCATTCCTGCAGGGAGTCAGAGCCGTATATCAACGAGATAGTACCGGTGCGCGCCTTTGGGCATCGCAGGCAGCCCGTTGACCACGGAGGGCGGCGTGGGCGATGATTCCAAGTCATTTGATTGACAATAGATTTTCACCGATTTAGAGCCAGTGATATCTTCGAGCGTATTCCTTTGATTGTCTCCTGGCTTTTGCTTTTTCACCATATACCCATCGGAGCGCGCCAGTCCATTTTTCACGTACTACTATTTTGGTTTGATCAAGACCGTCGTTTTCGCTGCAAGCGTTATGTCGAATCCGTCTTTTATTTGAACAACTCTTGAGATTTGAAATCGGGCCATGTATCAATAACTGGCCTCGACTACAATTCATTTTTTCGGGTTGCTTTGGCTTTGATATGGATCGCCTCCTTTGGTCCTAGAGACGCTCGCCAATGGCCTCTTGATCCCTACAAATAATCCACGAGACATCCTTCTTCATAGGCAGTCTCATTGTTCAGCGTCATCGGCGCCGTTTAGCCTGCTGATAAGGCAATAGGCAATGAATGAATACAGGAATGACATGAGGTAACCGGAAGGTTGATACTGAATTTCACTCATCTGTCTATAGACCATTCGTAACAGCATATATCAATGGATCAATCAACATAGCACAAAGCTCTGAGACCGTGCGAGACAATATGACTCTCATCAATCGTTACAATCGGTCATTCGCCCGGCTCCGACGTAGAATCCTAGAGTCCCGGAACACGGACTCCAGCTGGCTTCCCTTTCGGTTCTTCCGTCGCTTCTAGACCCTTAGAAATGTCAAAGATTCAATCAACGGCCGCTCATTTTCTTTTCTCATCATCACAGAAACACATAGAGAGTCAAGCAGGAGGCCCAAGAGAGATATCTAAAACTCTGACAACATAAAATAGAAAGGAGGAGGAATTACGGGGAACATGAAAAGTGGACCACCTGAACGCCAGCCTGATGCCACTCTGCTTGGTCCCATCACACGAGAAACCCACAGGTCGTGGGGATTTTTAACCTGAACAGAACCATTCGGAGGAAGGAAAAAGGATGAATTTTGTTTTCGGGGCGTAAATCGAATTCTTTACTTTATTTCGCAACAGCCGCGCTGTGAGAGAATTAAGAATCAGTAAGTTGTCAGTCGTGTGGATACAATAAGTGGAACGAACCTCAGCACTTGTGTCCGGAAGAAAGCACCCTTGGTCTTCTCGATGACCTGCTGGTACACAGACTGGGGAGGGTGGTTCATGATCACGGTGCCCTCCTTGTAGTCGATCTTGGCATCAACACGTGTGTCGCGGATCAGGTTGACAATCCACTTCTCGCCCTCATCCTGATTCAGGCCGAGACGGGTGGAAAGATCCCTAGTTTCCAATGTCAGTTTATCCGTCGCCAGGTCCCTAAATTTCAGGATACTGTCACATACTTGATATCAATCCGCTGGTGGATCTTGCAGTAGCTCTCGGAGATCAAGTGCCGGGCAGCCTCGACAAAGGCATCAGCGGTGGAAACAAGGAAAAAGTCGCTCCGGAGCACATCCTCGGCCTCGCCCAGCTTCTTCTGAGCCTCTTCGAAATCGAAATCAACGTAGAGAGCCTTGACGAAGTCGGTGATAGGGTCGTTGTACTCATAACCCTCCTGGCGCACCACGCGGATCAAGTCCTTCAATTGCTTCTGGTATACACTGCTGCTTTTGTGTGCGCGGTTACGGTTGGTGATGACTGCCGCGGCAAGGTACCGCAGGATCCAGGGGCAGTTGGTCTGGATGGTGTTGATGTAGGCGGGGGAGAAGAAGAGATCGGTCAGGACATCGCGAGCGGGATCGTGGTTGAAGAAGGGGAAAAGAGACCAGTGAATCAGCCAGGAGCGGTTCTGGAGCTGACCCAGAGGGTTGTTGAATAGACGGGTTTCGATCGAGTCTTTGACCTTCTGGACTTCCTCCATCGCAGCCTCCCAGCTGGTAGTGAGGATCTCCGAAGCGAATTTACCCCATGTAGCGGAGGCAACCTTGTCGTTATCCGTCGAAAGAACACGGAACTGATAGAGAAGCTCTGCGGCATTACCGTAGCTGCCGCAGCTGTACTGGAACCGGCCGTAATCGTAAAGGCTGTTGACCATTTCAATGGTCACTCCGTGCTGTTCCTCGAGGAACTTCAAGTTGGCGACCTTGTCACTTCGCAGGTTGGCCACGACGCTCTCATCCTGCAACAGCTGAGTGATCTTCGCGCTCTCCTCCTCGTACTGTTGCAACTTGGCGAGAACCTCCTCCCGCTTCTTCACGAACTCATCGGGAATGTCGTCGGAGTTGTTGATTTCCTTCCAGAGATTGGCAACATAGTCGGTCATGTTCGTGTGCTTCAAAAGCTCATACTTCGCACGGACAACTTCCTTCTCGTCATCTTGGCCCGAGCTGAATTCAAGCAGGGGAAAGACGAGGTGACGGTCGAGATAGGGGATCAACTTGGGAAGCAGGTTGTATTGGTTGGCGATTTCTTCAGCGGTCTTGGGAGGGTGGGCCGCGGCACCACTGAGAAGAGTCTCAGCGGAAGGGGGGACGTTGGCTGCCATGTTGGTGTAGAATTGACAGCAGTAAGAGAGGAAAGGGCGGGTTATATGAAGTGGAGGAACAGCAGCGAGGACTGTGTTGGAAGTCTCTCTCTCTCTGTCTCTTCTTTCGTCCCGTGCCAAAGTAAGTGTGCGGCGGTTTCTTTGCGCTGGCGAAAATGTGGGCGGGAGGGCTGGTGGGCGGGCTATCCCCTTTTGGGATTAGTAGCAGGTCTCCGCTCAGAACGCAAGAAATCGTATGTTGTAGGATGATGCTTGACATTTCTGTAGGACCTCTCTTCGATCGTACGTCGCCTTCACATCCCCTGTGATAGAACCCATTTGTGGTCGGGGCTCTTCATCACATCCACGCTTTGGGGTTGCCAGAGTTTCATCCATTGCAGGCCCCTTTTTCCCATATCCACAGCCGATGGCATCTTTCCTGCAGTCTCTGCCGGTCTGCTCGGCCGTTCGCAAGCAGTCGACAGCTCCCCTCTTCCTCAATGCTTCACAGTTCGTCACTTCATCGAGGACATGTCTCTCTTTCTCCACATTATCTTCACAGTCTAGATCAATCTCTTCTCGTAAGTCTCTGTCGAATCCGCCTATCCCATGCATTCTATCCATAAGCGAGCTATAGCAAAAACATGAACAAAAACAGAGAAGCAGACGTGGGAATCATACTGGACGTGATCGTACTGACATGTGTTACTGCAGTTCACTCATTGAGATCCGCTCAACACTCCAAATCAAAGCCTTCCGCCCATCAGTCTCGCACGTTCCTGGTTCAGCTCAAACGGCAATCCCAGACTCTGAAAGAAACCCCTTCCGCAACAACAGGAGCCGTTCCTCCTCCTGGTGCAAATCTGCAACTCACAAACCTCCCATATTTCATTCGTCGCACAGCATCAAACCAGCTCCCCGTATACCTCGTCACAAAAGCCGGTGGTACCAAGCAGCAGACCAAGATTCAGAAGACGGAAGGTGATCTCGAAGCGTTGAGGAGCGACCTTGCACGGTATCTCGGTCTGGAAAGCGGCGACCCGCGTGCGCCGAAAAGCCCGGACGTCACTATCAACCGCCTCAATGGCCATATTATTGTCAAGGTATGCCAGGGCACATGCCTCGCGCCGTCCAGAGCTTTTTTCCTCCTTTATCAATGCGGTTGCTAATTGATACCGTCATGTAGGGTTGGCGGAAGCCTGAAATTCAAAAGTTCCTTCTGGAGCGTAACTTTTAAGCAGGGACCTATCAGCTCTTTCAGCATGAACGATTACCCTTTCGTACCCTATATCTATCATCAATCATCTACTCGATAATCGACTACCAATTTACATATCCCACTAAAAAAAGCTATTTCAAGCTTCTACTGCAAAGCACTACCAAAAAGACCGAAGAAGGGAAGTGAAATGTGTTATGCGCAGGAAAGGAGCCCATGGAAAATGCAAGATGAGCAGAAAGTGAATCTATGATGGTTACATGAACGGTCTGCTTGTTTCTCGCCTTTCACTGTCTTCGGATCGTCATTTCATTCGTATATCGTTTCATGTCCGTTTTTGCATTGTACGATTCTCTTGCCGGTGTCCGTGTTGCGGGTTTCTCATTGCTGTCATTGAAGGCTCTGGCTTCTGCTGTACTCTGGGGTTGTTGTCCTCTTTCTATCCTTTCCGCATCAGATCTCATCTCTGCCATTTCTCGGTTGAGTGGCTATTTGTACTTGACACTTTAGTACAGGTCCAATTGTCCAGACAAATCAGGCGAAAAGACATTTGCATCTGGAAGTAATCAATTGTGACACGTAAAAGCAGGTTCAGCATCTAGTATCCGTGGGGAGCTCAGGCGAGGCCCTTGATATATTCTACAGTGTCATTTCAGTTTCATGTTAAAGATGATGAACAATTTTCCTACGGAGAAGCTTGTCGTCTCGTCTCCTTTAATGTAAAGCGAAGAGAACCAGGCATCTGTAGGTCGCTACGATGGAGGATGAATGCTTCGAAATGATGACAATTGATGGTGTATTTACCCATATAGACATCATGAATGATTCTTTTGCCCGAGGGTATTTTACAGTGATAGACAGAATGATACACAGTCACGCCCCACAATATTTCTCCCACCGGCGCCGAACAGATACAAAAAGGCATGGAACAGGTATGAGTGAGTCTTCATTGAGATCAGAAGAAGGCATGACCAGAATGAACAAAACTGGCTTTGGAAGATGGTAAGCCCGCTGCGGTCGCTTGAATATCCAAGAAAAGGGAGTTTGAAGCAGGCAGAGAGTAAGAAGCGGCAGAGTATTCCATTAGGATTTGACACAATGTTACTCGGCTAAACGAGCATAAGAGATCAGTTGCCGAACAACGCCAGGATCAACATTGGGCATCAACAATGCACCAAGTAGGCTCTCTTTCTTCGGGATGATTCCAGACGGAAATTTCCGCGCGGAACTATTGTCAGCGAGCTTCGACTTCTCCGCTAGTCGACACAGTATTGTTAGACCTCGATTGATGATAGAACTATAAGCGGAGGCCTCTGCCTCCGCCTGGCCTCGGGCAGCATGGGACTGACGAGAATTGGTACTAGGGGGAGGGACACGTTCAGTGCTCAGCAAACATGAGAGCCGCAGAAGATGAATAGCAAACCCGTCGATCGATTCAAGCCATTGTTTCGCCAAGGTACCATCAGCAAACGAAGAAAGAATGTCGGCTGCCAATAATCCCTGCATGAGGAATACCTTGCGGGCGTCCGCTATGGCCAGATGTTTCCGCAATTGATCGGGGACTGGACAGATGGCTAGTCCGAAAGCACGGGTCAGCAATTCATGCTGCGAACCGGGTGCTCCATCACTGGAGAATATTGCTTTGAAAAATGTCCTGTTGGGGTCATCTCTGGCCAGAAGCTTAGCCAAGCTGTCGACGGCGGCGGGTGTGTATTTGTGAATCGAGGCGTTGTAGGATGTAAACATGACTCCGTCCGCACCCAACGTTGGAGGCGGAAATGGAGCAAAAGACAAAAGAAAGTGCAATAGACAAAGGGCCTCCTCTTTGCTTGGTAATTGAATCACATGTGCCAAATTGCTCAAATAGATGACAGCGTCCTTCATGAAATCCAATGTGTTCTGATGGGTTCGAAGAAGCATGTTTCGAGTCCCTAAGTATCGGATAATGGTTGATATGAACTGTACAACGGGGGCAGTCGATAATAAACCAAAGTTCGACTCAGTGAAGGAAAGATTCCGCAATATTGTGGTGACGCAGATAAGTCTGTCAACAGCCCGATCGAGCTCATATTCAAGGCTTCCAAACTCAGGGACGTCGGCAAGAGAAGTCCATTCCGCTTGACATCCACGAGTAACCTCCTCGTACGAGGGCAGTAACATCACATCCGAAACCTCCACGGCGTGTTCAGCAAGGAGATCAGCTTGGTCCTCGGCACATTCGATCAAACTATCAATCAGATCTTCACAATTATCGAGCGAGATTTGGACGGCTGGTTCACAAGAGAGGGATACAAGAGTATCCAGCGCCAGGCGCATCTCCGCATGAATACCAGACTTGATGCTCATTGTGAGCGCGTGAATGTCAATGACACCAAGCTCGGCGAAGGAAGGCACGTTTGGTTTCAACCTAGTTAATTCTTCCCCAAGCTGGTACATTTCATCCAAAGCTATCGGACCATGCAAGTTGCTCTCCGGCAAAACCATTGGTTTGAAAGGATCTTGTATCGGATGTTTCAAAGGTTGATCAGAGGGTTGCTCTAATGTCTTCGCCGACTTTCCCGGTGTTCCCACAAGAGGTTTTGTTGACTGCGCAGGGGACTGGTTTGGTAACTGGCCCGTAGAATCCTGCGGGGTTGCTGGAGGCTGAGACTGGCGAGATACACTTAGTCGATGCTGTTGTTGTCTGTTCGACGCTTTGACTTGGGTCGGGGTCGCGAAGCCATTTGGAATGTTTTGCTGCGCATTGTTTGCTACCGACATGCTACCAGGAGAGGCACCAACTGGTTGAGGTACTTCGAATCCTTGGCCCTGTTTGACTGTTGGCGACTGGAACTGGAGAGCCGAAGGATCGCTTGGCTGTCGCGGCAGTGAGTTTGCCTGCATTTGATCGGCAAATTGCTTCTGCTGCGTGCTGAGGAAAGCCTGTTCGTACGCAGCGAGATTCCTTTGATAATGCTCCCGAATCTCCTGTACAGCCATAGGAAATTGCATCGGAGGGAACTGAAGCTGTTGGGCTATTACAGGCCACATGTTTGCAGCGCTTACCTTCTTTGACCCACCCAGCTTCATGACCGTCGCATAGAGCTGGACCAGGTTGATAGGGCGACCACAAACTATGGGATTCGGATCCAAAGGCAGATTGCGCGACATCATAAATTTCTGCAACGACCTCATAAAGCCCTCAGGATTGGGTGGTTTCGCCATGTTTTGCTGCATTTGCCTGATGGCCGCCATTTGCTGAGGATTTGCCATCGCGTTCATTCCCGCTGCCACGGGGCGTCCTGCCATCGCAGGATTCATATTCATAGGACGACCTTGGCTCTGCATCTGCAATGCGTGCAGTCGCTGCTGTTGAACGGCCATCGCTTGCTGATATTGCGGCATACTGCTAAAATTCGCTTGCATGGGCGCTTGCACAGCAGCGGAAGTCATCGTAGGAGCGGGTGCAAATTGCGGGCCCATCCCTTGAGGGAAAGGTTGACCTTGAATAAACGAATTGTTTTGCGGTGTGTTGACTCTACTCGGATGATCTGATTGCGACGGGGACATATGAGGCCCGACATGGGGGCCAGCGGGCGAGAATGGGCTAGGAGAGGCAGTTCCAAGTCGCTGCACACCGTGCTGGTCAAAGTCTTGCATGATGGGGGACTGAGTGACATTGGTCGGAGTCCCTTGCTGGAAATGTTGGTACGGCGCGGCATGGGAAGGGAATTGCTGGGCGCCGTTCGCAGGCCCCTGGTAACCAGGGTAAGGCACTTGATGAGGCGTCTGAGATCGCGATACAGAAAGCCCGCCAGGCGCTTGCCTGGGTGACATTGAGAGACCATCCTCTGGTCGCGATCTCTTGGACGGAATCACCTGGTTAGGGTTGTGGAATCCGGGGGAAGCATTTCGCGGTACTCCATTGAACATGCGCTGGAACTGATTCGGGTCTGGCGGCGTGGGCGATGCATGGAGAAATGCTGTAGATGGATCTATTGTTGTTTGATTAAAGGCACCATTGTCATGGCTCTGGAGGTTCGAGGCGTCGGCTAGCCAGGCATTCATGTCGTGTGGTCTTACCAACCCATCTGCAAGGCGATGATCGTCAGTGAATGTGACACAGAACAGGCTTGGTCATCATTAATAAGCAACTGTCGGACTCGCGACGAAATCAACATGGAAATCAATGATGCAACAGATGAGGCAACTATTGACTAAAGGCATCACAGAAAGGGCAAGGTGGGGGGCTATAGACGCGTCGGTGGTGTGGTTGAGTCGCGCTTTTGAGACTGCGACACGGGCATTTGAGAAGCAACGACCACACAGAACAGAGTTATCGGAGACATTCGACACCAAGAGCTGCAAGTAATGAAGAGACGGAACAAGATCGGTACTGAAGGAATAAAAATAGCGCAAAGATTTTGTACATACCGACAAGGCTGGATAACTTAGATGCCGACTCGTAAGCGTACGATTACACCGGTCCCGAAATAGCAGCGGTTGAGAGGCTTGAGAGAGTGCAAGGAGGACGATGGGAAGTCACGGGATTCCAGGCGCCGGAGCGCAAAGGCAGAAAACAGGGATGGAAACTGTCAGAGGCTCAACCATCAGTGTAAGTAAAGAAGCAGCTAAGCTATAACACCAGGATAAATAAAAAACGGTAACAACAAAATACAAGAGTAATGATGACTTTAATCAATAAGACAGAATAATAAGCCAAAGAAGCGCTGGAACTATGAGCACCACAGGATGGGGATTGCAACGTGTGTGACTGGTCCCGAAGAATGGCCAGATTGGATGGCCAGGAGTGCGTGGCGACACATGTGAAGTGTGCTCTGGACAGAAGCAGGCACAATCCAATGGCATAAGACAAGTGGGTGGGTGGTCTAGTATTGAACGTACCAGATCCAAGTAAAGCAGTGAACAGGAGAGCCGTAATTTTATTTTATTCTAATGAAATTCCTTCCTGTATTTCGATGAGGGGAAGGGGGGCCGCTTGAAAAGGCAGACAAAGTGGAGGCGTGGGAAGACAAGAATGG